TAGAAATTTTTTGATAATAGAATTATCACTTTCCAAATACAAGACTTTATATATTTAAATCCAGTTTCGTATTAGAAAAGTAATAGTTATATTATCCAAAACTTCCTATTAGTTCGCGTATGGTAGGTTCTACAGTATAAAAGCTCATTCTTCAATAAAACCAGATAATTCCTCAATTATCTGCGCGAACATCTGTCTCTCTATATTGAATTACAATCTTATCCTACACTTGAAATCCATCCATCGATTCACTAAATACTCAGAGAGAAAGTTCTTCTCATCTTCCGTGAGTTGTTCGAAAAAACTTCGAACACAGATAAAAATCTTGGCGTCTTCAAAAGAAAGACAAAAGAAAAAGAAAACGGTTCGAGCGCGCCTGGTTCTGAACTGGGCGGCGGCAGTCCACTCGGTCGTCGTGGCCATTTATTTGCCTCCCGATCCATCCTCCGATTCGAATATCCCCCCGGAATCTTTAAACGCTTTACCTGCTACCGGAATCTCCGCGGAGCTCGGAATAGAGGGTGGCGGCGGCCAGTAATACAGCCCGTCACTTTGTCGGCCTTTGTCACGGGGATTATGCGCCGGGTGGCAAATTATGACGGACACCTTCACGCCCAGGACACCCTCTAATGCGCCGGACGCGGAAGAGAGGGTCGGCCGAGGGACACCGGTGGAACCAGAGGGGGTAGAGGGGAGGGGGCAGAGGTAGAAAAAGGGAACGAACGCGCGAGAGAGGCTTCCATAAGCACCCGGGACCACGTTCTTTGAGAGGCACGTCCGAATTATACGCGCGGATCCGGCCGGATTATAAATTTAAAGGGGATGAAAGTGGATTAGCGGAGGCCAAGTTACGGATTCTCCCCGTGGAAATTGATCGCGGGACGGGATCTCGTTGATCTCGACAGTTCAGAGAAATCCGGGAGGTCGGAGTAATTATGTTTCTATATTCTCGTTTCCCGTCCTCGATGGATGGTTTATTATCGTTTTAGGAACAAAATAGTCGAACTATTGCAACGAAGCTTCTTGGGTTGAGAATTTCAGTTTTTGTTGTGAAGACTTGATATCTTTGAAATGAGATTGGAATTCAATTCTAGTCTTAATATAGATCACGAATTTTCCGAACTTTAATAACTATCTAACAAATTCCACTTAAAAAAAAAGGAGACAATACTCCGTTCAAAAATCGTGAACGTGTAATCCCTCGTCTCGATCCCTATATTCGAATAAAATCGTATCCGTCGCATTGTTAGCACCATAAAATATAAAACCCATCCGCGTCACCAGCATCGTACGTCCAACAAACTGGCTACGAGCCGTGGAAAATTAATAGAGGATGCAGCTAGCGACGAATTAAAGCAACACACGGGGGAAGGATTTGCTTGTCGCTGTCACTCAAGTGTTTCGTTGCTCCAGCGACCTACAACCGATTTCCGTCGCCCCCCCCCCCACCTCCCTGCCTATTTTTTCCACAAGGTTTTTCGCGAATATCCGGACAAGGGGCACGTCGTGAAATCTACCCCTGTCCCGGTAACGGGCGTTCGAGTGTCGGGACAGGTTGATTTACGGCATAATAAAGCGGTTACGCAAAGCGTGGGAGGGACCCCTCGAGCCGTGAATTTTATTTACGATCTACCGGAAAGTTCGGATTCGTCGTGGCCTCTCTCTCTCTCTCGTCCACCCGGCTCTCAGTGTCGTAAAATCGGCAACGAACGACGATTCGGTTCCGGTCGGAACCGATTTTCCCCGGTTGCGAGCTGAATTTTTCCACTCGATCGCTGGACCGTGAAGCGTGGAGAAGGTAGGAGGGGAGGGGGGGTAGGAAAAACGGTTTCCTTCCGGGCAGGCACAAGGTGAAAACTCGAGGCCGCGCTCGGTACCGTGTAAATGATATTTATGACTGGCCGGACCGGATTCTACGACGGACTTTGCGCGGATTAGCCGTAGTTAACGGGGGCTGGGCTTAGAGATTCTGTTTCCCCGAGTGGAAACACTTGGCAGATAATTAACGGACTGTACGAGCGATAACGGCGACTTCGGGAGGCAATTCCCTGGTAATTGTCGAGACCGTGTTCCCTTGGACGACAAACACTACGAAACCGAGTGTACACGCGGCGTTCTTGAAGATGGCCTCCTTAATCCTGGAATACTGGCGTTAATTTTTTTGTGACATTGATGTCGACACAGGGCACACTGTACAGTCCGTCCTGCAGAAATAATATTTCTCAGTGCCAGACTGTATTAAGTCCACTTTTTTTTGTAAAATCACATTTTACGTGTTTTAATTTTTGTATTAAATTTTTCACTCCTTTCGATGGTAGAAATTATTTTGTTCTAAGTCGTATAGTTTTTCATATAATAGTGTAAAAATGACAGGTCCATATTTTGTTCCGAGGCAAACAGTATACAGTCCATTATGTGCAAAGGGAACTTAATGGAATGTTTACCATTTCTATATATCTAAACTTGTGTTAAGTCCATTGAATAGTTCGAAGGTACCAATTGCTTCTTGTCCTATTCTTACCGAAGGGTTCCAAAGTTACAAGGTTCGCTGCTTTTTCCCCTCCAATCCTACGGTCCCCTCGCCCAAAGTGGTAACTTATGCTCCGTCTATACATATATGTCTATGGCGCATCTGGTAGCAGTGTATGTATATCCGTCGAGAAACGAAAACGAATTAAAAATGCGATACAACCACCTATCGCCCATTAACAGCGACACGGGGCTGCCTCTTCAGCCCCCGCCCCCTCCATCCCATCAAAGTCTGCATCATCAGACGGCTTTCTGGACACGGGATAAGTATTCCTTATAAAGATTCTCGCCGCTGGCGTCGCTCGGGATCCCGGGGTCCCGAGCCAATCCTGGTGGTGTTCGCGGGCCATTATGCCCGATCATAATTGCGTCGTCGCAACAACGTTTCTCCTTTCCGACGTCCACACAGCTGGGGCGGCGGCCTTTCATCTTGTTGCCCGGCCGAACGAGCTTCTGTTTCCGAGGTGTTTCCGCCGCCGGCTACCGTCCTGGAAGCTGGAATTTGATCCTAAGTAGCCAGCGTCGCAATAAACGGCCGTGGAAGGGAAGGAGAAGAGAGAAAGAGAGCCGACCGAACGGACAAAGAGAGCGGGGATCGCTTGGAAGTGGTCAGTGTTGGAGGGGCAAGATTGACGGAAGGTTGCGGTGGCGAAACACACCAGCACGAACCGATGAAAAAGAATGAAGAGGGGGAGAGAGTGGCGCCGCGGAAGACCCGACGACGCTTCCTCCTTTTAAATTATTCCCGCGGTCTGCGACTCGTTCGCGTTACCTCGAGACACCGTTATTGCCTTCTATACCTGTGGTGAAAACCCATGGTGTACGGAGAATTACAAGCTATAGGAAGGTGGTCGCGCGAGTGTTGATCGTGTTTCTGTTTTTTTTTTTTTTTTATTCCTTTTGGTGTTAAATGATAGAAGCAGTGGGGTTCAATGAAGTATTCACCCTCTGATAATAAGGTCCACGTGGACTCAAGTTATAGTTCCTCTTATGCTGTCCCCACCCAGTTTGTATTATTTTTGTATTATCAGTTTCAAAATATTTTTTATTATTTAGCAAACATTTAACCCATTTGCATCATTTGAAAGAAATGAAAAGTATTATGTTATATATCTCAATTATTATTTCTTATTATATAAATAAATAAAAATACAGGTTCAAGGTAACAACTTTTTTTACCTGATCCGACCCCACCTCACCAAGTACGGTCTTAAAACCAACCTTACGATTCGCGGGGTTAAATATGATTCTAAAAGGTTTGGAACTTGAAATGATTCAATTTTAATCAACTTTATTTATAAATGGAAGAATGTTGGGGGAATAGAGATTCTTCGTGTAAAACTGATACCACCAAGTTTATTGTTTCCTTTTATGTATAATCGCTAAATAATCTGCAGTAAAATTCGTGTTACAGAGACTTAGTAGTCCTAGAGGAGAAGCGAGTTCCCAATTGTTGTAATTCTCTTCTCGAGTATCCCCCAAAATCGTGGAAGTTTCAACGGCCGTTCACGAAACAGCGGGTGTAACGGCTGCTTATCCGCCGACACAGATATTCATAAGTAACATTCAGCCGGGGAAAATGCTTCGTGGTTCATTTATAACACGCCTGGGAGCTATTCAGTGTAACAGCATTACCGGCGCGATAAACAATATTCCGTCCCGAGATGTATTTATCTAACAAGTCGAGTAATGGCTCGGTCATTCTAGAGCCACGCGGAAGACCGACGATGAAGAGCTTATCTTCCTTCACTTGCAATTTCTGGTCGTTCAGCCACGGTATCTCGCCGCCTCATTATCATGGACTGCGCTATGATTAACGTACTCAGCTGGCGTTTTCAGTTTACGACTCTGAACGGGATTCCCGATGTTTGTTAATTCGATTCCGTGTGCGAGCACGAAATCGGAATTTCCAATTTCCGTGAAGTTATCGGCTATGATGAATGTTGCTGGAATATGGAAATATTTATTGAACGATCTGCTCCGAAATATCTGCTACATGCACCTATCCTCTTCTGTACTTAAATGGGACTTTCGTTTAATGTACAACATTTGATCACACATGTTTAATTTCATCATTACAATGTCCCCACTCAAGGCGTAGGGAAACTTCAACTTCAGGTTCACTCTTCAAAATTATATGAAATCTTAAGACAGGTCGGTTTGAAGATTTGATCGTTAATCCCTTAACTTCGATGGATCTGTATAAGAATTCACAACATTGTAATCTCCTGACCAAGGGAGATCGTTTCTTGTCATCGTTTAGAATTATAAAACTGTACTTCCAATTGCGTCTCTGTACTCCATAGAAGTAGAGACTTCTACCAGTTAAATTCCAAAGAGAAGAAACGACATCAGCCGTAAAGTAAACCAAGAGTGACCCTCAAGTCCGTATCCGCTACTCACAGTTCTACTCCGAAGTACTCGGTTCTCATTCGAGCACACACAGTGATACCCGACATTTCATTCTCCAGATCTCCGTGTACCTGACAGCCCTGGTGCTCACGATAGCAGCGGAGGAGAAACCGACGAACACGGTCTCGGTGTCCTCCGGCTCGCCGGCGATCCAGAGCAACACAATCCAGAAGCTGATCAAGATCCTGGAAAAATACGGGCTGGAGGAGCAGAGGGGCCTGAAGAGGGTATATCTGAGCAACAGGTCGATCACTTGCAACGATGGATCACAGGCGGGATTCTACCTGCGGAAGTCGCACGGCTCGAAGAGGTGGATCATTTTCTTGGAAGGCGGCTGGTACTGCTACGACCACAAGAGCTGCAGGAACAGGTGGCTCCGGCTCAGGCATCTGATGACATCGACTCAGTGGCCTGAGACACGCGACGGTGAGTACCCTCCTCCCTGCCTGTGGCTCAGGCTCTAGTCTCTGCCCGTGTTCACCGTGCCCTGACACTTTCTAACGTTTCCGTGGAACGGTGTTCCGCAATCCTTCCCCCCCCCCCTCGGTCGCTCGCGGCACGCTGTAATGTTGCTCACCGCGACACGTGACGGCGCGTCGTATTGTTCCGGTTAGCAGGGTTCAACCCACTTCGGGGAACGCCACTGCGTTCAGCGTAGCGTAGAGTGGTCTGTTTGGGTATACTCAGAACGACCAGACATGAGTACGGTAGAATCGCTATTATTCGAATTAATGGGGTGACATGAATGTGGGAGTATTCGCGTTCCTTTTTTTTGGCGGTGCTTAGCTTACAGAAAACAGAAGTGAAAATTTAACACAGGGGACCTTTTTTCTTAGAACTGCACACCTGTTGCGCTTCCGTCTTTTTACGGAATTGTTTAAATTAACCCTTATTAGTACTTTATATGTTTACCGGGTAGCGTCTAAAAATACCTTGAAAAATATTTGCGATTCTTGAGGTATCCATTACAGTTAACATATTTCTCCAAAAAACGAAGATATTATGTTTTTTTTTAAATTTCTTTATTTTTATCCAGTAAACGTGCGTTCCACTACATAAACTTATTTTATAAAAATAAAGTGTCGTTACATATGTTTATATTAAAAATGGAAAATTGATATGTCAGCTCAAGGTATTTTCCGGAAAACCCACAGAACCGATTTATCGACTTTGAGGTACTAAAAGGGTTAATTCTAATTAACCTTTAATTGCAGATGACTCATCTCAGAGATGGGTGATCTGACAACGACTACTTGGGAACACTTAATAATCGGCTGAATGTTATTTTTCCTTACCGTTTTGAATATAGTATTTAAGAGCAAATCATTGCCACCCAAAGCTTCGGTAGTTCTAACCGCTTAGAAAGATAAATTTCTGTTGGATGTCAAATCATTTCGAAACGAATCGCTGTGAAATAATCAAGCAATAAATTATAACCATTATTGTTCATTACAGTTGGCGGTCTTCTGTCAGCAAACCCAGAAGAGAATCCATTCTGGTGGAACGCGAATCACGTGTAGGTATTGTCCACCTTAGCAAAACTATAAGATAGCGTCGAACAATACTATGAACCGTTTTCACTAATTCTGATCTACGTTTCCTGAAGAGATTTCTAAAAACAAGAGTAAACATAGAAAATTCTTTCGTCTTTCAGAGATTTTAGTGGAATCAAAATAAAACAAGGAAATTATGTAAAATCGATCAAATTTTTGTCCTTTAGTGTATTTCACATACCTCTGTAAATTCATACAATCTCTAGTCTAATTATCTAGAAGCAATAAATGAAAAGTGGACTGTTGTCGGTAAAATTATTCAATTTGTACAATTGGCCGATAGGGGCGAGTGATAACGTATTCGTGACGAGGTCTCCTTGTTTTTTTCTTCAGATTCGTCCCTTATTGCACGAGCGACAGTTGGAGCGGTACCAGAGCCTCGCCGAACGACATGTTTTCCTTCATGGGGGCAGAGATCGTGTTGCAAGTGGTGCGGGATCTCGTTCCGCTCGGTCTTGAAAACGCCAGCTCCCTTCTTTTGGCAGGCAGCAGCGCGGGTGGAACCGGTGTCATGTTGAATTTGGATCACGTGCACAATTTGGTTCGCCACGAATTAGGTGAGACGGGTCCCCTTTGATCGTTCAACGACCCGTAAACTCATTCACCCATTTAAACCGGCATCGTCGGGACCGTTCAATCTTCCGCGCGATCAGAATTCCTTACGCCTCTTTAACATTTAACATTGCACACAAACGTGCTTCTTAATCGTGATCCCATTTATCGTCGTCGGTCCTATATCCGATTGTCATCTGATTAAAATCAAATGGAATAGTTTACGTTCGAATAAGTTTTTATATTTGTGTAATATATTGAAGTTTACTTTCTGAAATGACCATATCCAGTTAGTATAAAATAGCGAATGATAATTTACATATAAGTTAATCTATCCAAGAATCTTCGAATGTCGTGGTTTGCAAGTAGCTAATTTTTTTTTAACGTGCTCTGCAGGGTTGAAGCATATTGCAATAAGGGGTGTCTCCGATTCGGGGTGGTTCCTGGACAGGGCACCCTATTCGCCGAACGGTTTGTCACCCGTCGACGCAGTCCGCAAGGGGATGGAGCTTTGGAAAGCTCGAATACCTCGTAATTGCGCCTCAAAGCATCCAAATGAGCCCTGGAGATGCTACTTTGGATACAGACTGTATCCAACCCTCACCGGTAAAGAACTTTCTACTTTTCTGTTTGTTAATCACTTCAATTTCTGTCACACAATTCAGTAATTCTTCAAACAACAAAGATGTTTTTACTAAGAAATTTTCTACTAGAAAAGTTTATAAAACATACAGAGTATTTGAAAATTGTTTCAAAGAACAGAAACAGTGACGCTTAAATGTTTGGAAACTTTTATTTTAACAAACATAGTTTAAATTCAAGTCCTCTTCCAAATATTTCCTTTTTAAAAAATTATGGAAGATGTAGGAGAACAGAATACAGTCTTCCAGTTTCCTAAGAGAATTAATATTAAGTATAATTAAAACATAGTAGACTTCGTACATCTAATACGTATGAATTTCGAAAGAAATCAATACTATAGATAGTTTAACACTATGACGTCCGGCGACACCACAGTGGTGACCTTCACAAAGTATCGCTCGGCGGCCGGCGACACCAGAGTGGTTAGTTGTGCCGGCGCCAAGCGAAGAAATGTTTAAAAACAGTGCGGCCGGCAAAGTGTTAATATTTATTATTTCCTTTAGCATAATGTCACAAATCATACTGGAACTACCCAAAAGATTAAACATCCAGTTTTATAAAATTAAAAACTCCTATCCCATTGAATAAGTGATTCCAAACTATTTGAGCTATATTCCATGGTAGTATAATACACAGATTAATGATCTTTGAGACAATTGAAATTTATCGATCGGTCGGGCTACCGTCGTGGGTCGCTATAAAAGTGGCCATCACGGTGAAGAAGTGATCTATTAGAGGCGTGAAAACGACACACACTCCTCGACTTTCCCGCTAACACATATATTTGCTTCCCGGAAAATCATAGCGCCCCTGTTCGTTTTTCAATGGCTGTTCGACGAGGCGCAGATGTCGGCGGACAACGTGGGTGCACCAGTGACGAAGCAGCAATGGGATTACATACACAAGATGGGCGACAGCCTGCGGCAGACCTTCGAAAATGTTACAGCGGTCTTTGCCCCGAGCTGCATTAGTCACAGCGTCCTGACGAAGAGGGATTGGCAGCTGGTTAAAATAGACGAAGTTTCCTTGGCACAGGCGTTGCATTGTTGGGAACAAATGCCAATCGGGAATCACCGTAACGAGTGAGTACCGGAACACCGTGAAAATGAACACCCTTGTCGTTGGAACGACGGATGATCGATCGATCGTCCGCCAGCGGAACGTATTTCGTTCTGTTAAACATAGACGAGAATTAAGAATTCGCCATCGTTTTGTTGATGCTTCCCAAGTGAAGTTGACAACGATCTTATATCCATCTTGCATCGAAACGTTAAGCCTTTAAGTAGAGAAAGAATATCTCGAGAAAAGTATGAAAGATTATCTTGGAGTTAACAAGCAGACCGAAATTTCAATGTCTAAACTCCCTTCGAAACAAAAAGAGTGTTTCATTTACAATATTATTCAGATGAAGTGGCATGATGACCATTTTTGGGACGTCAAATTCTGTACAAAATTTTAAGGCCACGATCGACTTGCCGCAACGGATAGACACCTTGTATATAACGGGCGAAGGGGTTAAAATTCTAGAGTGCAGAAATTTTAGATATAATATTGAATGTTAAAACTTCGTCGTTAGGTGTCTTCTTGTAGCTTTTAATGGAAACGAAGCGTATCGACGGAAGATCGCGACTCTAACGGTTCACGTCGGTACTAATTTCAGCACCCACTCGCCAATCGAGACGAACCAGCCGTGCGCGAAGTCGCTCCGGAAACTGTTGCGTTCCGGACCGACGAAGGGAAACGGAACTTCCCCAGAGCCCGGGAAAACCGTGAAGACCGATTCCGCGTCGGAACTGCAGAGAGTCGCGTCTACGGTCGTTAGAAAGTCGGACGAGGGGAGATCGTCGACGTCCACGGCGCAGGAACGCGAGAACAAAAAGAGGAAGAGACGGAAGCACAAAGGCAGACGACGGGACCGGAACAAGGAGGCGAGAACGAAGAAGGAGAAGCACGAGCGGCGAAAGACTGCAGGTACGGGGAACCTCCAGAAAGAGCAATTGTATTAAAGACAAATGGAAGTCGTGATTAAGCGTTGATACCGTTGTAATAATATTGTAAATAAACGTTGAACCCGTTTTTCCCGGGATGATTCGTTGCGTTTGAAACAAATTGGCAAAGTGAAAAAACTTTAAAAATGGGTTCCTGATGAGCTGATAAAAAACGGACATGTCATATGTTGGGACCTAATATCAAGCCTAGATTATTTAGACATTGTTTAGTTCAACTCCTGGTTGTCCGAATAACGCCGCTTAACTAAATCAGAAACATGCTTCATACGACATAAAACAATACAATTGATTGTTGAAAAAGAATCAATACAATTTTTGTTAGCGTTTACATTAATAACTGTATATATTCTTTTGTATTGGAATATCAACTCGATTGTACCAACATCGTGTCACCTAATCGGTTTCCATAATCAACGTTCTTTTTCGGTGACTTTCTATAATTCTTTAGAGGTGACTTTAGTATAATTCTTTATACATTCGTAATCGTCGGATTATAATTATTCTGTTAAACCGTACCAAATCTGTTCGAACGTTAGGTCGGCGAAAGGGCAACAAGCAGAACAATGAGAACAACCACACGGGCATGTTCAACGGCACCAGGCCACAGCGCTCGGTGATACCATCTGGCAAACGGAAGTGCGTCCAGGGCTGCCACTTCCGGCTAATCGAACGTTGCACTTGGCCGCAGTGTAATCACAGCTGCCCGAAGCTTCACAACCCGTTCACCGGCGAGGAGATGGACTTCATCGAGCTGTTGAAGAGCTTCGGTCTGGACTGCTGAACCTTCTTACCCAGCGGGCCAATTAACGAGCACAATTGGCGAAGGTGGCGATGGTAGCTACCGGTGGTGGTCTTTTGTTCTCGAAGCTTCGATATACAACGAGGCGCACCGCGTGCACTGGTTCGCTGGTATTTGTCCGTCGACGGACGTGGACTTTAAAAGTTTTCGAGAGCTTGGAGAAATCAAACGAAAGAGAAAAAGCTTCGGAATAACGATGAAAGGAAGAAAGAGACGAGAAGCCAGTGTTTCTGATGTGTTCCCAGGCACGAGAACAGACTTTTTCGCGTTTTGGACAGAGATCAACCAAATCGAATATGTATCTGTACATACTTTTTTAGAGTCTACCACGATATTCGGGAGCTTCGTCAGAGGGAACAGTCGTCGATTCAATCGTGGTCTCGCCAATCAAGTTCGTTCGATTCGGTCATTTGCCGACAGACTATTGTCGCGTGAAGAACCTAACGAACGACCGACCATTGATCGTCAAGCGAATACGAGCTTGTTCAGGCGTACGGCGCACGTGAAATGTATATTTCAGTCTGTCCCCTCGAATTACCGAGTATCTTTTAATTTATTTCGTAGTTCGTAAGGCAAATTAAATCGATACATGTAGTGTCACGTCGCTACGATTAATCCGTTTACGCGTTCGACGTCGATCAGCCGTGAGGCTTGATTTCCGTTATCACCGAAACTTCCCGTCAATACTACTCGGTATCTGGTCAAATTGAACGTTCGAAATGATCACGCTGAATTGGAATCTTCGAATTATTCGAACAAGTGAACAGATCGTTTCCAATGGTCTCTGCAAAATTTTAGTCTCGTAAAAGTCAATCGATCGGACATCGTCATTTCTCTATAGCTGAATGAAAAAAAGAAAGCATTGCAATTTTTTTGTAATACATTGCTTGTCAAAAAGATTTAACGAACTAATATCGAAAGAAATTATTGAATAGTCGACCGATCCGAATATGGACGACATACGATGGAATTAAACGTGAACGTCCACGATGAATCAACTTCCACTTTAAAACAGTTTGCGCCACGGTACTTAAGCGGTCCTGACATTAAACGTTCAGTATTAGCACAGCCGGTTGATGTCGAAAGACTCGACAGTCCGCAAAGCTGAACCCGGTAAATCGAGCCAGAAACATTTCCAGCGCAGTCGCGTTCAATAGAACGCCGGAACGGAGTTTTGCGAATTGATGCCACTAACGAGCAAACCGACCGACCGACAAAGCAGCTTCATAGACTGATAAAATTATCTACCTCAACGAATCAAATCGTATTAACGTCCTTCTCTGTACTATAAACGTCGATTAGAGTGTAACGCGCGGCAATAGTAATTAATAATAGGTTAACATGCGCGCGTGACCAGCGCATAGTGGTACATAATGACTTATTTTCTTCAGATTAGTGTATAGATCGCAATTTTTGGAGTAAATTTGAAACTTTTTAAAAATATTACCGCTTGTAGACTGATTTGAAAGAAAAATAAGTCATTGTGTACCGTCGTGCAGCGCCGCGCACATTTTGTATATCTATGTAACGAAACAGTGTAATATACTTGGACTAATAATTATTTATTTAACGCGACAGACGGAAGTTCACGCGACAGGCGAGAGAGGCCTTCGGCCGAGGTTCGAGGAATTTAATTTATTTTTTAAATGGAGAGTTATTATATCGAGATCCCTACAGCGCTCCTGTCTCGCATACCGTGTAAAACAATCATTGCATTGTACTCGCGTGAAACTGTAAATAAATTGTATATCTGTTGTATTAAACGAATCACGGCAATTAATTTTATTTCTTGACGCGTGGAACATTTCGTTTCAGGAATGGCAGCTTTTTTTTTTCAATCGATCGATAAAATTAATGGGTACGATGAAATATTTTCTGCACAAGTTTTGATTGGTGGACAGGGAAATTTTCATACAGTATTCATCGTTCTCCATATTCTACAAGGTTCGTTTAAAATGTTTAGCGTTGGATCTGTAAAAGTTTATACTTAGTCCCAAATGTCCATTAAATATAATTCTATTTAACATTAGAACTACCGACGATAAACGTGTATCTATTTCAGTCGGATCGATAAACATGACAAACTTTTGAAAATATACAAATCTATAAACTTACTTTTTCACTTACATGTGACATGTCATCGTTATAACTAGACTGCGAAACTTTATGCTTTTCTACTAAGCACCTCAATTATCAATTTATTAAGTTCATTAGCAGCATCGAATTTTTCGAAGATCTAAAACAGTATTCTAATTGTAACAATACCTAAATTCCTCTAATTTTGTTGCTGTTAGTAACATGTATACCTAGGCTCAGTAGTCTAAAAGCAGTCGTATCTACTTCCAAGCATAGTTGGACGTAATCAACTACTTCCATTGCAATCAATGTAATTAAAAAGTACAATTACGTGTATTTAAAAACTGTAATGTAAAAGTAATTTGTAATTGTCTTAGCATTTACATTATAATTGCAATTTAGATTATGTAATTAGATTACACTACCCAACTGTGCTTCCAAGATACAACACTCCACAAAACAACCAACGCGAAAGAACACCGAGGATCCAACGATTGAAAATCCACCAAAGAAATTTCCCAACGGAGACCAGTCACCAGTCGAATAATTCACCCAGAAGCGTAGCTTCGCGATCCACCCGACGAAACAAGAGGAACGGTAGCTTCACGGAACCTGGGGCCGATCGATCATGATCGGTCCGAAGTCGTCGGGTAAACACAGCGGCGGAGTAACGATAAATCGACTCGCTTCGTTGGCTGCACCTGTACCTAATCATCATCCTGTTAACTCCCGCGAGACCCTCCCCGTCCCCCGTTGACCCACGAGCGAGGGTGATAATTCAATGTAGAATCAGAATCCGTCCCCCAACCCCCGGGTTTGATCCGTCGTTCCCCGCGTAACACACTGATCGCTCGACCCTCTATCTATCCTCTCTGTGTCTCTTCCTCTCTCCCTCTCTCCGATCGACGTCGTAAGTTGTCTCGAAACTATATATTCCACGGCATACGCAGGAAATGGTGTTTAATGCCGACGGGTCAGGCCGGGTCTGACCCCCGGTGGTGGACAGATGCGGTCTATAGAGGATGGACCGAACGTCCGACAGAGAAAAAACCGGGCGGCGTCGATCGAACGGTAGAGGAGGACAACCGGTGTGCCTGGTCCCCATCGAGCAATTGACGTGTCCGAGGAAGTGATGGAAGGATGATGGCACAATGTGCTTGAAAGGTCCCATAAGCGAGAGAGCGGGTTCTATATTAAACTGGTCCGGTTACGGGTCGTTCGGGCTGCCCGTTGTTCAGTCACTGGACTGTCTCCAGACGGCCGTGGATCGGCATCGTCCAGGACAAAAAAAAAACCGCGATCGATCCGCAATCGACGCTTATTTCGCCGCTGGAGCCGCAACGTCATCTTAACACCGTCGAGGTGACTGATTCCATTGGCCTGTTTTTTTTTCTTGGACGTGGACGATGTTAGACTGGACCTGATCGTCTTGAAGATCCGCGACACCGAAGAAGTGATTGTACGGGTTGAAGGAAACGAGCGTTAAAAAGTTCCGTGAATCGGCGACCTAAGCAGGGTGGGGGGGGTTGAATGCGGGATCGATCGGCCGTCGACGAAGGGGATCCAGGACTCGAGGGAATTCTGCCGATCGGCTGTAGCTGGATAGTAGAAGCGGCTACCTTGATCCGCCACGTTTCTCGGCGAATGAAGTGACGTTACGCCGCGGTCAGTAGCTATGCACACAGGTAGAATAGGAGCGATTTAGTTGTTCTTAACCCTTTCGTTACTGTTGTTTCCATATGGCTACGTATTTTAAATTGCGAAAGGAAATATTAGTATCATGTATTTTTTCGTATCTGTGAGTATATAATTAGTTTCTTTTAGTCTTGTATAGATGATGTGGCACCAATTTGAATGTGCATTTAAAAGTTTATCGGTAGAATAAGACAGTATTTGTCCTCTGTCTCTCCTTCACTTGATGAAATTCAGGTCTGAACATTGTTATAAAAAAACAGTTTCGATGGAAAACAGCTAAACCACAATTAATTGAATTTTTCTCGTTAAGCACAGGTACACACCGATTTCTGACGTCGGATATCGGAGCCCTGTTTAGACAACTTGCATAGAGTAACATCGTTCGATGATGTTGAAGGGAACGACGTTGGTGTTCCTTCCTTTGGTCTGTGACATCGGTGAGCGTATTCTTTTTTAATTCCCTCGAGATATTCGCAATCTTTGTTAAAATTTACAGTTACTATTTTTTTAAGTTCATGCTTATTGGAAGTATTCTGGTATAAATTTTGTTTTTCGATCAAATTGGACGATAGCACGCAATGCTGGCTAGAATGCTGATTTCATTTCTCTAGACGAACAACAATCTTTCGTTCGGGTAAGCTTGCTCACGGGAACGATACTTTGTGATTCCAGCATTGGCAGCGCAATGCGGGAAAGTATGGCTGACAGTCTCCTCGTTGTGGAGACCAATCGCGGCCAGTGACAAAGTGGTCGACGCCGAGCTCGAAGTAAATTGGGATCTCGATTGTCCGTCGAGTACAGGATACCCAGATACCATCAAGGTGTTCACTGCTGACCCAGCACATAGTAATAACGTTTTGTTTGCTTCTCTTGAACGTCATAATTCGGGGAATTAAGAAGGAATCCGTTTTCCATCCGGACCACTCACACTGATTCGAATCCATTAAATCTCCGATTAGTGTTCGAAGACTCTTCGACACTGACAAGGAGAGGTCCCCAGGTGTTGTACTGACTTTTTAATGAGATTTAGATGATACTTATTTTAGCCACATGTGACCATTAGTTTATGAACTATTTAATGTTCAGTGCCGAAGAGCCCTCGAACACACATCGAGGATTCACCGTAGCATAAAAAAATTTCACATCTCGAAACGAATCCTTCGTAGCAGGATCCTGAACATTTTTAATTCTCACAGAACACTTTGAGATTTATTGGTTAGTTAAAAAAAAAAATGATATAAATGTGTAACGAAATATCCGAGCAAACTGAGTCATCAATCTGTCCTCGTTTGCTTGTGGTTCGCCACGAATTTATGTCTCAAGCCAAACTTTAGGGGACTCGATCGTCTAGGGATCGGTCGATGCCGGTCGACGCAACCATCGATGTTGTGCTTTCAGACAAAACGATCAAGCCTAAGTTGACTTTGACTTCGCTGCAATACCCCCGGGGCTATTATCGGACAAACATCACGGTCGGTCGACCACCCCTTCCGGGCGGATGGGACACCAAGGATGGCGCGACACTTCCCGGGCCCCATTGCTTGAAACACCATGCTGCCCTTTATAAAGACGGGGCGTTCATCGTCAGCTCCTGCTTGCAAATATGGCCAACGTGGATGTACGATTTGAGGTGAGAGAACAATGATTTGTTACACGAAAAGATTACGAATTTCTATTAAAAAGAAAATCCTTTGCACGTAGAAAGTATCTATTTTTCAATATCTGTGTTCTATTCAGAATATTGTTAGTATTTTACGTTCGGTTTACATGGAATTATTTTAGAAAATGTTATACTTAATTACGAAAGCTGAATAGATTGGCAGTAAATAATACTACTTTACGATGTACATTAAACGGCGTAGACATTGTATACCAAACAGTGTTATATGTATAACAAATTGTTATACGCTTTGCTATACTACACGTTTTTATGACTTGTTACAAGATTATAGACTTTGGACAAGTCTGTAACGAGTTTGTAAAACATTTCGCGTCTCATTATTAATAATGGCGTCACACTTGATGGGTAACATATAACTTGTAAGATAATACAAAAAATGTTATGTAACATCATGTTATATAACATTTTACTTTCTATTCTTCTAATAAGTCTTTGCTATATGCACGTGTTATGTTATACAGTATAGTGTCGACGCAGCTGTAGAATAGTATGTACTCAAATGTACTGTGCTCAAAATATTAATACAAGTAGAAACAGCCAGTAAACGACAGACGCATCGGTTAAGTGGTATCAAGTGCCCCGCGTCAGACCACTTTTCAGATTTAATTTTCGGGTGTACTAGATTCTATATAAATAAAATTGTATTCTACATTCTCACTTTCAAGATCACCTCCTTGTGGATTACACGATCAGTTACAAAACACCTTAAATATATATTTATATCACAGTAAAAGCGTGAAGTTTAGTAAATGTATACACTTTCCAATCAATGTACGCATTTACGTACGATTTTAGCAGAAGTATGAACCGAATATAAGAATGTATGTTATTTCTAGTAAATGTATTCATTTTTTTAAGTATGTGAAAACTATTAGGATTTCCTGATCTTTGGACACAAATTAATGCATTTTTGTTTCTGCATGCCTTTCCTAAATCAGACATGTAAATGTATGCATTTACTAGTAAAAGTATAAATTTCGTTCCTTGTGAATACATTTACTAACTAGATTAGCAGGTGCATATATTGACTAGAAAATGCATATATTTACAGAATTAACGCCTTTACTGTAACATTTACATCGCACAAGGTAATATCGTGGGCTGTATATTTTTCTGAAAATTCAACGTGTACGTCTGTCTTGTTCTGTTTGTGAAAGTATTTGTATTTTGAATGTGTTTCCAGGAGGCAACTGGGAAGGCTTCCTATAGGAAGCTTAATGATTCCCGGCACCCACAATTCAGGATGCTACAAGCATGGTGACCTGACAAGACGAGACGCCTTTCAACGATACCTGTTAACTCAGGATCGCGACGTGTGGACACAGTTGGTGCACGGTATAAGGTACCTGGACATCAGGGTCGGTTACTACCCATCGATCCCGAATGGCACCGCCATCGAGGTGGGTAACCACATAAGCAGATTTTGGATCAATCACGATGTGATTCGGATCACTCCCCTGTCCTCTATCATCAAAGATGTGAGAAACTTCCTGAACGTTGCGAGGGGAGAGGTTGTCATTATGGATTTTCATAGGTAAGTTGCCAATATAAAATGCAACAAAATTTCTAATATTCGAATTAATATGTAGATACAATTTTTTTTATCGTCCATAATATATTCAGCATAACTTAAGTACAAAATTTTGATCCATTTCGTTCAAGGTAAATGAATGAAAATGATTTGAAATTGATATTAATGTAACTAAGACACGATTGTGATCGAAGGGGCGTGATGTAATTCAGTGTTGGACGGGCGCGGTTCAATGTCGGGCGATTTTGCACGCAGATTTCCGGTGGGATTCGGGGACAGGTCAAACAGACACCGCCGATTGGCCACGATCCTCTGGCGAGAATTCGAAGGTCTGATCCTCAAGCCCGATAGGGGGGTCGAAGGTCTTGGTCCGACCTTGAACGATATTTGGACCGGAGGGAAACGCTTGATTATTTGTTACGGCGATCAGCACACCGTGAATGGTAAATTTATTACCTGCTACTATTCAATTGAATCCTCGTGCGTCAATTCAACACACGTGTACATTCGCGTTACGTGAGTCGAATCAATTTTTACACACGCTTTAACCTGCCAATCGAGAGAGGTGAGTTAATTCGTCGCCGCTGCTATATCTCCGATTCAACGTATTTTATCTTTCATCCTTAATTATGCTCGCATAGATACGTAGAATCGACAATTTACCGTTTTAAAGTAAAATTTATTTCTGCTATTAAAATTCACCCAGAAACATTTTACATATCACAATTCACAAATCATTTAGAATTTCACTTCATATTTTAATTACGTCTGCACTATCGATAGTTCGATTAAGAATTTTAATATTATTAAGAAGTAAAAACATTTGGAATAGTAAATATTAATCGTAAAATTCATCGAATCGACAAATGAGAAAAATCGTCGCGGTACAATTTGTTTCCTACTACATTTAGACAATCGTCCTGTTTGAATCTATACTATTCATTCTTTGTTTTCTTTAGCATGGCTGAAACTGTTTCTTTTTCGGTTTTCCTAAATCTCGGGTTTCTTGTGTTGTGAATCACTTTTCTTACAGAGTATGACTGGTTATGGCCGACAATGTCTCAAGCATGGGGCAATCAGCAAACGGTGGAGGGTCTCTTCAAATATTTGGACGAAGTTATCATGGGATCGAAGAGGTTCCGGAACAGTCAGAACCCATTATGGGCGGTGATGGCGGAGCTGACGCCGTACCCACTGGACATACTGTTCAATCTATCCAGTGGACTGCGGCAGATGGCCGATTCCGTGAACAGAAACCTCACATTCAAGTTCCAGGAGGAATGGTGGAAGGAAACCAACGTAGTAGCTACGGATTTCTTCCTCGGGAATAATCTCATCGATGTCTCGATACAATCAAACATTAAGAAGAGCAATATTGCCCAATGGCGTTTGTAACGCGTCAATAAAGGAGCATAATCTACAGAAATTTAATATTAATTAGATTGCTGTTTCGTTGATGCGTGCGGAATGAAGATGAAAAGGATATTATCAGTTCCATTGAATAATTTTCAGAAGTTCTAACCCATTGCTGTTGCGCATGGAAAGTCCGTTCGAATTAATTGTTGAAGTTGAAATTGTTTCTTAAGAAATTGATAAACTGTTTGGTCTTCGATTTATTCGAAATCGAATGTAATTTAAGAATTACCTGACACTTTTTATGCAGCGGGAATATTTATTGGTGCCTGAACGCATAGGGTTAACTTCGAAGGTTTAGCTCCATCAAATTGTAGAAAGGATAGAAGTAATTAATAATTAGAATCTTCAGAGGGTAAGATTGATGATAATTTTCGTGGAATGAACTGCAGAATGAGATTTCTGGTGCCTCTTGGGTTTTATGTAGAAGAAATTTGTCGATTCGTTCATGTTAGAGGGAAACATTAGGGTAACTAGTGTAAGAGTTCAAACACATGTGCAGGAATAATAATATGCAAATTTAAAGACTAATAATTTATTAATAAAAAAGAATTTTTTATCCCTGTTCCATTTTGTAATATCCATCCAAATATGTTCGTTGGTATTAGAAATTAATTACCAATATTTATATATAGAATAATGTGTTCATTACTCGTATCGCGTAAAAGGATTAGGCACTAGTAATTACTAGATTGCAGATATTTAATTTATTTCTTCGATTAGTGATTTCATTGCATAAAAAAGAAAATAATGTATGCGTTGAACTTTATGTGCGGAAACTACAGGCGATTAAATATTCACAATGTAGTAATTATTTACGAGTAACATCACCCAACTGTGACGTACCGTGTTTCATGAAATCTGGCAGAGATGTAGTGTATACGAAAATATTCGAAAAAATTTTGTATGTCTCCCGAAGGCATAATAAATGTAATTATTACTACATCGTCAGAAATATTAATCTGATTGAAACATAAGTTTTGGCGCGCTCGATCTTTAAATTCCGTGCGCATTTGCCCGCATAGATTTTGTGAGTTGTCGCGTACCGTTAAAAAGAAATAGCAATAGACGAACGTAAATTTTCAGTTTCGTTGGGTTCCACATGCCGAAAGGAACTTGCCTCCTATTCTCCGGCTTCTGACCATCTGTGACCATTTTACTTTCATGCTTGGTCAACATACGCGGGCTAAGATCTGAACAGTATACCATCGGTCCATCCCTGACCACAAGAGTTATTGGTCCTGTTATCTTAATTTATTTTGTTTATTCACATTCATATTACGTGTATCTAATATGATTGAACGAAAATACAAATATCCGATGCTTCGGTTTAAAGGATGAATGTGATAGGTATGTACTAATAAAATATAACGCGTAAAAGTATGGATTTTTCCACACATCGTCAAAGGACATTTCAGTAATGTCACCTTTTTTTTCGTTTCTATATATTTTCTATCAAATAACGTGATATAAGAATCTTAATACGAACAATCAATTATCTTCTGACAATTGATGAATTTTTACATATAATTTTATATAGACATCATTTATTTACAATCATTTTATTTATTGCGAGGAATTATATAATGAACTTCGACCCAATTAGAGCTCAGGTAGCCAAACTTCTACAGTATTGCCAGGTCTGCATTTTTTTCATTTTCTCCATAAAGAAAAGGTTTTACCTATTAATTAATTGGTACTATCTGGCAGATTGTATTTCATAAACTTCGACATAATTGTTAAATTGACGGGACGTATTTATCACAGATAGTGTTCAGAAAAACATCGTATGTTTCAAAACTTTCAGAAAGGGGTAGTAAAAATACCACTAGGCATTGTACATCAATACTTTCCATCTAAAACGAATTCAAATAACAAATTTTCAGAGATAGCCTGGGATATGTACGCGGTTGAATTCATTCATTACTCGTAGGGTATATGGAATATACGTTTCGAAAATATTAAGTTTATAACCATCGGAGTGCTACGAAATGAAATTTCTGAGAAATCGTCCTTGTGCGTCAGTTTTTTCGTTTCATGAAGGTCAATGCCCGTTGAGCTAATCGCAGGTATACATAAAAAAAACGTCGTACGGAACACACGCACACACACACACAACAACTTAAATGAATCGCAACGCAGAAACATACGTTCAAACGAACGGGATTATCGCAATAGAATTACCACTCATCATGTCGTTCATGCACCGAATACCAAGCTATTATTAAGTGTAAACTACAGTAGATATACATGAACATACTTTGTTATAAGTTTACTCAATGAGCATATGCAATGTAATTAAAAATTTATATCATCTTGTATTGCAGAACTGAATCTTAACAGAGATTTTAAATTAAAATAAAAAATCAAACAAAAATATATACACTAGCCCCCGAAAAGCGATTAACAGTTACATTACGAATATCTTTCAATGCAAATATACTTATTCATCTACGCCAGGCAAAGGCAAAACGCGACCGATGTCTGAATTCTCCGGAGAATCCAGAGGGATCGGTAAACGACCTTAGTATACGGATCAATCCTTAATATGTACTTGGTCTGTGTATAGAATTCACGAGGAAAGTGAAATAATAATAGCTTGGTATATTTACAATACTTCATCAAGCGTAATGCCGATTGCCATGATTTATTGCCATAAGGCTACTATGAGTACAGATCGACCCCCCACCCCTTTACTCACACCTCCTCTCAGTCGGTCAACCGATATGCAACAAAATGAGTTATTTTTTAAGTTCGTACGGGCCTCTTGATGATGTCACGTGATGAAAAATATCCATGTGACCTTCTCATGTTCTTCAAGCGGTGACAAATGTTCAGATGATCTTCACACGAAGAGATATCTTCAGATGTTGACTTAAGTTTAAATTAGCGAACCGTAACTATATAGATGATACCTTGATTCGTGAAACGGACACACAAAAGAATATGTTTACATATAGCAAGTATAAAAGGGTATAACAACACAGTTTTATAGATATTTTATTTTGATAAATTAGATAATTAGATAGTCAATATTCTTTGATTCTATCTCATTTAATTTGCAATAAAAATGACTCAACTTCAGTCTCAAAAGTCAGAGGTTGTCACATTCCTCCAATAATGTTTCATTCATCATATATGTATTCAATATATTGCCTATAGAGGTTCATATACACAATGGACTCAAGAATAGGCATTGAATATTAAGAGCATTAATGCTGCTTTGTCCAATTATAGAATGTTTATTAATTGTATGGGTAGTAGAAAATGCTATGTATAAGAAGATCCTACCCTAGCTAAGAAATACAATTGATCAACGTTACTATTCGAAGGTATGATAGCATACCCACATTCACTATATCCAAATCGCCAAATTTAGCATATATGTATACAATGAGTTGCCAGTGCCACTTTGGACTAATTGTCCTATGGCATGATTAGGGACTGGAGTAATAAAAAAAGGCATACAAAGACTCACCCGATGATAGAAGGATTTACAGTCTTTGCTGGTGGAACTTCAGATTAGGACATCCAATTTAGTGTTCAGTGATGCAACATTTAAAGAAACTGAAAAAAAAACAAGACAAATTTATTACACTCAATATTATTATTACTGATAAATATACCACAACAATTATTTAGTTTATAATATTTATGAATTACATTGTAGCATAATACATAACTATGCTGCAATCATGTTTGTTTTTTTATTTACTTCATGTTCTGCTTTTCTACATATTCAGAAAATCATTACAAGTACCGAAGTTGCATTATTTACGCATGCTTTGATAAAAAGCATGATAAACTATGCAGCTGGTATTAATCAAATTTACACCCAAAACTGTATATAAATGCAAATACAATAATGTCATATGGTAAGACAGAAGAAGTTATCTATAATCTGTTTTAATACAATTTCACGACCGAGATATGTAAATCACAAACATTTCCAATTTGAATGTCTCAAAGTATAGTAGTTCAAATTTTGTAACTTTCAAGGAAGCCATTTTGAATGCTTCAACTACATAACTATATGTATTGAACAAAATTGCTCCAAAAAATTCTCATTTGATCTTAGCACAAACCACGAAATCACGATTATTTCACTTACGGTTAAAAACAATATAAAAACACGTAATGAAGTGTCACTTTGTTGTCATAATAAATGTTATAATAAATATTATAATAACTTACCAGAATTCACCAATATCCCGCCGAATTCCGTTTGAAGGCAGTCAGCGATGCTCAGGGCGGTAGTGTGTACTTTCAAACCGAAACTCTGAAACAGAAAGTAAACATAAACTTTAAGTAATTACACTACGTTAAGAATAGTTAGGTTACAAATTAACAATTATTGAACTCGTGGTGTATCGCAGATTGCAAATTGGATCAGAAATACGTAAATATTACATTAATTGCTAGACAGTGAAACCGAAGAGTAAACCGAAACCTACGGTATCGAAATAATTTGAGATTATTTAGTCTAAATTGGATAAATATTAAAGGACAGTAACGATAGAGAGCTAATGAAGGTACTGGTAATTAATATATATGAATAAAGATGAAAGGTAAGTGTCAAAGACTTACTTTGGCATGAGCAAGCTGCTTCTACGTCTTAACACCCCAACTTCTCCAAAACGAATGGCGGGAATGATACTTCGGGTACATTCGGCTGGTCCCGTGCGGTTTATTCGGCTATCTTCGGGAGATCACGAGTTGCTGATTGGTCAGAGCGGTATATCCCCGAGTGATACGACTTGGCGGGAACAAACATATGCACCACTCCACTTTAAACGAGGATGGAACACTTAAAAAACAGAACGCCAAAAATATATATGTATTTCGTCACATATTCAAAAGATAACTTATTAAACGTCCGTTAATATGTTTATAGAGAATACTAAACTTATTCAGACTTTACTGCATGGGAAACATGATCTGGGAAACTAACATATTTCTCGTTCTTATAGACGAAGTCAATGTCAAGGTTATGCACAAAATGTAATTGAACTCATTTAAATAAAATAGCAAATATTTAATATTTCTCGTCAATACTAAGATGGGATTATTGTTTAATCATTTATGATAAAATACAAATTATTCACTTGTAAAACTTGATTACAATATCCACATCTTACATGATATTGTATACAATAACGATAATAACAATCAAACGTCGATCGAAGAATTTCTACTGTGTCATATCTCGGAAAAATTCTCATTTAATCTTATCACAAACCACGAAATCGCGATCATTTCACTTACGGTCAAAAATAATGTAAACGCAACAATATCAAAATATATAATGAAGTGTCACTTTTTTGTTATAATAAATGTTATAATAACTTACCAGAGTTCACCAATTTCCCGCCAAATTCCGTTTGAAGGGAGTAAACGATACTTATGGCGGTAGTGCGTGCTTTCAAGTCGAGACTCTGAAACAGAAAAACATGAATTTTATGTAATTGCACTACGTTATGAATTGTTATGTTACAAATTAACAATTACTGAACTCGTGGCGTATCGCAAAGGTTACAAATTAAGTCAGAAATACGTAAATATTGTATTAATTGGTACACAGTGAAACCAAAGAGTAAACAGATACCTACGGTATCGAATTAATTTGAGATTATTTAATCTAAATTGTATAAATATTAAAGGACAGTAACGGTACAGAGCTAATGAAGGTACTTGTAATGAATATATATGAATAAAGATGAAAAGTAATTGTCAAACACTCACTTTGGCACGAGCAAACGGCTTCCACATCTTGTTCATTCGGCTATCTTCGGAGAATTGCGAGTAGTTGATTGGTCAGAGCAATAGAGCCTCGACTAGTATGATTTGGCGGGAAAACAAACATATGTACTAATCCAGTTTAAAAGATGAATGTACCATTTAAAAAACTCCTTAAACGGTCTATATACCTGAGCCGACCATGGGACAGGGTGAGGGTCCCATAAACTTGATATGGAAAACATAAACTTTCCAACATATCGGTCAAGACACATATCTAAATGTATTTTACAGTTCCAATCATGGAAGGGGTGCGGGTGTTTCCATAAATGACTTTGAGTTGGGTCGTCCATTTCTATGATTTTAACACGCGTCTTTCATTCAGCGAGCAGGGAAATCGTTTGAAACAAATGCTTCGGCGTTACGAAAACGTGCTCCGCCCAGAGATCGACGACGCCATGTTTCAAGATTTCCACCCGTGTGTCGATTTGACTTCCAAATGTAGCACCGACGCTGCCCGGGATCACGTTCGGGACACCGGTTTTTGGTGGTAGACACTGTAGGCAGTCGTCTGCTAGCAGCCAGTGAGAATTTTAACGTGTCCCATCCACCTATTCTTTTGATCGTAACTTTCTTCTTCCTTCTTCTGGTGTCATTTTGTCGGGACGTTGATAAATGTTCTGTCTCGCTTTCGAGGTCGAGGAATAATGCACGCGAGGACACGAAGGAGCCGTTAAGGAAAGAAAAAAGAAGGAACGAACACATCGAACGAAAACGATTCGTAGCGTTTCTTATCTTATCGACACGGGACTGGTCGGCGAAAAAATGGAGTACAATCTTACGCGCGAAGAGAAAGTGCTCTGGGCTGTTTACGCATGGTGGTCGTGCGTACTTATTTTGAAGATGAACGCTTTGACGTGGTTCACCGGGCGGATTCGTGTAGCCAGACAGGTAAACTGTGTCCTTCGCTTTTTGCATTGTTTGCTGTACCAGTATCAATAGTTCACTCACAAGATAGCAAGAAAAGTTTGAACTCTATTAACATAGCGAAACAAATATAAGCTTTGTATCAATATCGTGTCGCGTCATTTGTCACAGTATTTCGATAGAACGTTCGAAAATTCTCAGCCAGTTAATTGAATTGCTTCGTTCCGATCGATGTTCCAGGTGATTCACAGCGAGGTGGACAGAATGTGGATGAAAGGTCCCAATATAATTTTATGTCCGACCGGAGGCGGTCACGAAGACGTGGATCGTATTCGTAGCGCTCATCAACACGATCTTGGAACTGTGCTCCCTTATCTGCTAATTGCCCCGATATGGCTGTGTACGTCACCGGTGTTTCCTGTCGCCAGAACGATCCTTCCTTGCTTCGCGATAGTCAGCATTCTGTACACCCTGGTACACATGGAGATCGTGAGTCTGCCCCGTTATTGCAAAACAATACTCTCCGCCTCTGAACTTTGTATCTTGATCAGCATGTCCGGAATGTCTGTGCTCCACTATACGAATTCACTGTGGTTATAGCGATAACTTTGAATATACGTACAGGGTGTTTGTAAAACTGTGAGACACTTTTATAGGATAGATTTTACATGCCAGACTAGGGTGAAAATTATGAATGACGAAATTGAGTTCGAGGCTTGGTTTATGAGTTATTAATTGTTGAAAATACGGACGAAATACGCGTGAAATACCTACGTCTGACACGATGGGTTTATTCTACTTGCGAGGCGCGTTCTTCAACTGTTTCACGAGTTGGTTTCCTTCACTTCATTTTATTTCATTCATTACTTTCACTAGGTCATCGATATGTATACCAGCTGCGAATTAGCTGTACCTCGCTCGAGGCGTATATCACGCGTATTTTGCTTAACTTTTCAACAGTTAATAATTCAGAAATAAAGCCTTGAACGCAATTTCGTCATTTTTTATTTTCGCCTTAGTTTGGCATGTAGAATCCATATATTTATATTATATGTCTTATGCATAGTTCTAGCTATGTACCAGTATACATATATGTATAGTACTAATCGTGGCCGTTCGATACGCTAAGCGAGGTCAATGTAACACATTCCGTACTTGGAATTACAATGAATAGATGCTGATGTTGCACTGAGTGCATAATCAACATAAAACCTCTATCACAGTCGGTATGTGACAAAAAAAGCAGTGATAAAAACAATGATCCTCAATTACCTTTAAAACTATAGAATAGCCACATCATTTTTATGTTAGCTCTTTAGTTACGTAACGGTTTCGATTGATAAATAATATGTTTATAGTTTCTACTTCTACGAAAAGGCAAGAATTTAAATCGTACAGTAAAAGAAGACAAGTTACATTCCATTAATCTTACCGAATGAATCACTGTACATTATTTGTGCTTATTCTTTATGATTCAGTCAAAGGTTAATTTGACATTAAATAAACATTACTAAATAATGCAACATTTCTTTTTACCAATTCTCTTTCTACTTAAAAAAGAGCTCGAGGCCGTCCCGTTTCCCCTGATCGCGCTGTACTCTACACGATGTACTCTATACGATACACGCGTACCCTCGTACATCCCAATTCTTAATTAGACATGAAAGAAACCGCAAAAGAAATTAATTGTACTCATTATTTCGCAGACTACATGTGCATGTAGTTCTCAGCGTAGTAGCCCGATGATGTATCGCATCGCCAATTGTGCTTATTCAAGTTCCGAACATACACTGAACGTACAGAACCTCAGGAATCATCGTATCGTATCTTCATTATCATTGTATTTAATTGATAAGTGTTTAGCGTCTATTGATTACGGCGTGTCTACGGCGTTACGTCTTTAAGGCCAATAAGTCTGTCATTAAGTCATGTATCGTCGACGGTTATGCCACACTACCAGGATAAACGTCAGTTGTTAGCCAGCCAGCGGACAGGAAATTGATCCTTCTTCAACCTGACTGTGTCAGGAATCGAAGAACTGTTGGTAAGTTATTAATTGCACATAAAGTATGAATGATTAACTATCGTACCGATAATGTTACAATGATAATAAAGAAATTTCAGGCGCGTTAAAGTTACTGTTAGAAGGAATTAGGAATCACGGCGGCCATTTTGGATGCTTTTAGAAGGATATTCGAAACTTATTCCCATATATCTATTACGTGTGTACAGAAGACGCGTGTTTTTACATACTTTACATATTTTTTTATTTCCTTTTCTGTCTACAGTATCATAATATCATTCGAAAGAACTTTTAGAAGCGCTTATTTATAAGAAACTTGCGCTTATACTACTTTGCAGTATTTGAAGTACGTTATAAATAGACTGCACAGAATCATGAAAGAATGTTTTGATCTTACTTCTTCCGATGTACTTTTCCTCTAGAAACTGGTTAATATGGTGATTCATTCGGAGTCAGTATCTCAGTCAATCTTGACTTCTTAAACCGTATAAAAAGAATAAAAAAACATGTTGGCATTCTATTATTTGGAGACCTTGATCACGCATTCACTTCTATCGTTGGTCACCAGTAGAAATCGATGAAAGAACCGATGAAATTTGTAAAACATATTTATCCCTTCTAAAGATCGTACTGATTTTGTTAAAAATTACAGTGTGTTATGTATTTTTATTACTTGTTTTATAATAGCTACGTTCGATGGTCGCATGCGCGTAAACCATCGAATTGTCAATCCGCGCGTAATCTGATTAGCCAAGTGACGAAATGGAAAATGACACTCACGTAATAATTCGTCGAGCGAGAAATTTACAAGAATTTCGTCCACCGATTTGTTCAGGTCGCGGTCATTTTCTACGGCCTCTTCTTCTTCGGGATCCTCTATTTATATCTCCATCTAGTCGACCGATTTAGAGGTTAGGTGGACCTTGTCCTTCCTCCGTAGCGATACCACTGTAACCACTGTAACCACTGTAACCACTGTAACCAAGGACGAGTCTGTCGACAACACAAGCTGAATGCTATTCGCGTCGAACGTACGCGAAGTCGCGTCGTTTCGTTCTGGCTTGACTGTGGTGCGGGTGAAATTTAAAACATGAAACAGGGAAATACGACCGTACCGTGATACAGTTTCAGTGCCGGAATAATGGAATTCGACGAAGGGATCGTCCGTAAACGGACCTGTCGGAGTTACCTGCAACGGGTACCACAAAGAATGTCAGAGGTAGTGGAACACTTCTTCTATGGGTAAGTTCAAGAGTAATTTCTCCGATGAGGGTAAGTTCTTTCTAAAATTTGTCTTACTTTTTGCCTAGAGTTGGGCTGAGAATAGCCCAGAGACCACTGAAATGGCTTATCGGTAGCACTGTGGTAGTCTTAATTTCTCTCACTGGTTTATATTCCTTCCATCAAGAGAAGAATCCTATGAAGCTCTGGGTTCCACAGAATTCAGATTTTGTTCATGACACAGAATGGATGATCAATCAGTTTGGACAGGGACTAAGACTGGAAAATATGATATTAACAGCAGAGAATGTATTAGAACCAAAGGCCCTCGCAACAGTATTTATCTCCTTTTCTTCAACTGTAGTATAGCAGAGTATACTTTGAATGTAATATGAAGTATATTGGTATATCAATATGATACTAAATGAGGGAAACGTTTAAATCATTTCAGCTGAATGAAATAATAAAGCAAGTTATTTCTGTACAAACTCCTGACCATATTGCATGGACAGATGTGTGTTTCAAGTAAGAATTTTTTTTATTTGCCTTGCAGTTATACCAAAAAAAAATTAATACTGTTTCATTTAATGTATAGGGTGCCTGTTATATCAGGTATTGTAAGGAGGGAAAAGCGTAGTAATGGGCACGATGATTTTTTTGACATAGAACCTGATTCACAAAACAATAACACATTTGAACCTGCTGTTCATGCAGATCCTGAATTATATTGTAATATAGTGAATAATTTGCCAAAAGCTTGCCTTTTAAGTAGTCTTGTGGACCTATGGGAGTATGACAGTAGTATTATTCTGAGTAAATCTAGTGAAGAAATTATCAGGGACGTAAACGAAGCAACAGTCAGTCCTACCTTAGGGCATCCCATGAACTTCACAGATTTATTGGGTGGGGTAACAAGGAACATACAGGGTAGAATTACCTCAGCTAGAGCTGTAAAAACAGAATGGGCAGTACACATAAATTTTTCAAAAGTGGACATGGATAACTTTGGCAATCAAGTTGGAACAGCTGATTGGGTAAGGTAAGTTCATTAGAAGGCCTGAATCATGATTTTAATATAAAAATTTATAAATATAATGATGTGACTGTGTCATTTATTTAATGTAATATAATGCAATATAATGTTGTGTATGATTTAAACAATTTGGATTTTAAGTTTTTATGTGATTTAGGCCTTGTTTAACATTTGAGGAGATTTTGTCAAGATCAGTTTAATTATCCTTTCTAGAAATAGTATTAATTAATTTATTTATGATATGTGCCCATTCTACAAAAATTTTATGTTATGTTTGATCTTGGACAGAATCAATATTTACGATTTAATTTATTAATTATTTCTTTTTTATTGTTATGTACATATTCATTTATTCTTATATATAGAGAGATCAATTTGATATTAATAATTTTATTTGTAAAATCGGGGTAGCTTGTTTATAATGGAACTCATTTTTCATATATAGGCCACAGATGATGTTTTTAAATGGGAACTGTCTTATTTAAATGTATTGCACAGAAATGCAAAACTATTAAATAATAAGATAAATGCAAATCATACCCTAGCCATATGGTATGAAGCTGGTAGAAGTTTTGGGGATGTTACATTTGTGACAATGTTTGGTAACATTGACATACTGTCCATAGGATTCATTTTGATGTTCATCTATGTTCTAGTCATATTTTCTGATTACAATTGGGTGGGATGGCGTGTAAGTTATCAATCAGACAAGTCTGTGTAATTATATAAAGTATCCTGAAAGTCTATGCTAGAGCAGAATCGAAACTATATGTATAATTATGAACAGCTCATGTGAAACTTAATTACAAATTAATTAATTAAATTCTGATAACTTTCAAACTACTTTGTATAAAAAAAAGTTTCCTCAATGTTGTTCTGTACAAAACATAATTATCCATAGATTTATCTCACAATAATTGGACTTCTATGCGTGGGCGGCGCATTTATAACTTCAATCAGTGTGTGCTCTGCTCTTGGCATTCCTTATGGGCCTGTACATACTTCTTTACCTTTTCTTTTATTGGCTCTTGGAGTCGACGATAACTTTCTGATAATGGCATCTTGGAACGAAATACATGCGCACAAATCAAACAGGAATAAGCCTTTAGAAGAGAGAATAGCTTTAATGCTGGGACAAGCTGGCTCAGCTATCAGTATTACCTCTCTTACAGATGTTGTTGCATTTATTATTGGTGCATCAACAGTAAGTTTGTATTATTAAACTTATCTATTATGTATCATACTTATGCCATTGTGCACATGAAATTGAACACATAATAATACATATATATTTCCAGATATTACCATCCCTTCAGTCATTTTGTATATACGCAGCAGTTGGGGTGCTACTGACATTTTTACTTCAAATCACGTTTTACATTCCTTTCTTTACCCTAGATGCTCAACGTATTGAGAGCAAAAGGAACTCAATGCTACCGTGGATCGTTCACGAAAATTTCACCCAAAAGTTCATCAACCCACAAGACGCACTATCGTCCAAATTTATCACGAAGTTGTACTCGAACGTGATTTTAACAATACCTGGAAAAATAGTAATAGTATTAGTAACATGTGTAGCTGCATCGGCGGGCACCGTAGGTATATTGCAGTTACAACAGTGGTTCGACCCAACCTGGTTTGTACCGAACAGTTCATATTTAAGCAAGTATTTTAACGTACGCAATCTCGAATACCCGGATCGTGGTTACGAGTCAATCATTCTCATGGGAGAGTTCAATTACACTGCCGAGTTCCCTAAGTTAATACATTTAGCAGAAACTTTTACTAATCTATCGACAGTGCAGAGTTTAAACTCATGGCCAAACGATTTCACAAAATTCGTCTTTAAATATTTTGAAAAAGGTTGGCAATATTCTCTGACATCAAATGTGCTTGCGACATACCGTCAGCGGAAAATTAATCATCAAACGTTTTACCTTTAGATTTAAGGACCACAACACTAAACGACACACAATTTTACGATTACCTATCGAAGTTTTTATTCAGCCGAGACGGCGGCAAGTATCAACGTAACTTTCGATTTAAGAGGGACTTAAAGTGCGGTCAAAACACGCCACTGATCTTAGCAACCACCATGGACTTCATCTTCAAACGATTCCACGGTCCTCATCAGTGGATCCCAGCTATGGATCAGAGCAGACTGGTAGCGCGCGATATCGGTGTTGATGGATTTGTTACAGTCTGGAGCGAAGTGTTCAGCCTGTGGACCACCGATAAATTGATCTCTCAAGAAGTCCTGCGCAACGTGCTGTTAGCGTTAATATGCGTTATGGGGATGACAGGGTTGTTGATCGCCGAACTGCAAACTTGTTTCTGGATCTTTTTGTGTGTTCTTCTGACTTTATTAAACGTCTGCGGATTCATGTACTTTTGGGGCCTGACAATAGACATTGCCTCTTGCATTGGTGAAGATCCTTTTCCTTTGAGATGTGTTACGGTATCATGCATGATTGCTAACAGCGAGTACAATTTGTTTCCTTGTTCAGGTCTAGAGTTGGGCATTGGATTGTCCGTCGATTACGCGGCTCACGTTGCACACGCGTTCGTGCACGCTGCATCGGAAATTGGAAGCGAGGATCGCACAAAAAGAGCCCACGTTGCAGTCCGATACATAGGCGCGGCGGTTGCGTACGGTGCTGGTTCAACGTTATTGGCGCTGTCCATGATGGCGTTCTCCGAGAGTTACGTGTTCCACGCGTTCCTTAGGATCTTCATTCTGGTGATAGTGTTCGGCCTGTGGCACGGTTTATGCCTGTTGCCTGTTATACTGAGCACAATCGGCCCACGGAGTCTACGACCGCACGAAACTCCGCGGTCGTCGCCGGAGAAACACGAGGAGGCGTTGGACACGGTGACCAGCCCGTTGAACAAAGAAACGGAAAGTTAGAAGAACGCCACGACCAAACGAACTGTATTCATTATCAATAATATTTATTTTTGGTTCAATAAACATACAAAATTATTACACTATCCGTACTATTAATCACACATTTATACAAAAATAATAATAATAATAAAGGTCGGATAACTTAAAAACGGCATTATTTATATATATATATTTATATTTATCTAAGATATTAAGATTAAAAAAAGAAAAAAACAAAGTACAAAATAATGTAGCAATGGTTGATATAGATTTTTTTTATTAATAATAATTATTGATCGGAAAGGAACATGACTATTATAAACGTAACGTAAAATCGTGTTTGCTGGATGCGTTATCTTTCTTTCTTTCTTTTATGTAGAATCATAATTAATGTTTATGACGTAAAAATGAGCGGCGAGGGAGCGACCCCGGATTGATTGGTCGTCACCCTCCGCTGCCTCTCTCAGTCTTGCATAGTCCACGAAACATTCATGCAATCTTTCATTCGAATGATCTATCATTCCCCCCGGGGTCTTCTTGCGTTTGTCGGTGCTCTTTTGTTCCTATGCGCTCGTCTGTTCTTTTTTCTTGTTGCTTTTCTTATCACTTCCGTCCCCCTCGCGTGTTACGATCACTCGCGACGGAGAGCCAAGATTGCAAGTTCAGAGCTGGAGACAAGTTGGGACAAACGAGAAGACGCCCGAAATGATCCTCACAGGCGCACACACGATTTCACCCATTGCGACAAGAGTCACACACGCATATACACTCGACAGAGGCGCGCGCGCACGTTCTCCGGGAAACACGATCTCAGCACACACGGTAAAGAGTAGACACCGCCCGGGGTGGGCAGCAAGCCACGCACGAACGATACGGCGATACACATCTTTTTCTTACTTTAGTTGAATTTTACAAATTGGGATCGTACATTCCATAATTATTGAGGAACCATCGATACAATAATAATATTTACTTAGCAAAACGTGCCGATCGGTAGTGTGGCGAAGGACGCGTGACGTGTGAGCACAGTTAAACGCGTTACGAAGAAGGGGGGTTTGGAGATGGGGCTTGGAGTGTGATTTTCTTTTCTTTATTCGACGACGACGATGATGATGATGATGATGATAATAACGATGATATTGGTGGTGGAAGGGGTGAGATAAGTTGGCGCAAGGAGGACGTTGGTAGAGGGGTGAGGAAGGTATTAATTAGTAGCTCTTTTGCGTTCGCGTGGGTGACAACCAAGTACAGCAATTTGGGAGAGGGGGTTAGAGGTCGGACGATTCGGATGGGGAATTGGAGGGGGGTTTTGCACGTCTGCTTGCCAGGAATTTTCAAGGTACACGCACTTTATAGGGATACACCATGGGAAAGACACTCAGGGCAGACACTGACATAGAGACTAGGCTACCGACTATATGTATACCTATCTAAACGTGTAATTAGCGTACGCACCGCGTACACCCGGTACGCTCGCAATCCGCCCGCCGTTCGGGTTGCTTTTCCATATTATATTTTGCTTTATTTTCATTTCATTTCGAAGAAACGAGCGCGCGAGCGCGCACGCGCACGCTCGCATGCGCTCCAATCCCTTCACTTCCCATTTATCCTTTCTCCTCTTTTCAACTTTCGTTTTCCCATCCTTCACCTCACCTTTTTCCGTCCATCTCTCATCGTATTCCTCCCCATTCTTTCCTTTCGTTTTCTTTTAAATTATTATTATCATCGTTTATTATTTTTTTTTATTACAATCAGCAATCGCGTCGAAGTCGTGCTTTTTTTTTTTATAGTAAACGCTATGTAGTCTTTATTACTCAAGCTTATGCCCAAAAATCTACCAGAGGCACTTTGGGTTTATTAGTACCATTTGAAGTCGGCGTGCGCGGGGGAGGGTGCTACGAGTCCCATACTTCTCTTTCTTTCACTCTCATCTTTTTTATTTTGTTACTCGTTTATTAATATTTACGTTTCCATTTCTGTTTAGTGATACAACGGTCGAACGATGTGAAATTCTATTCTCCTCTTTTTTTTTTTTTTTTTTATCTTCCGGCTCTTCCTCGTGACACGACGACGGAGTTACCCTGTCTGCGATCCATATTTCTTGTTCAACACGCCCCCGTTCACCTACCACGTACATATATTTCCGCGTCCCAACGGTTACCCCCCTCCCTCCCCCGTTTCCTTTCCCGTTAGCCTACCAACTCTCGTATCTTTCCCTGCTGCCTTACCTTTCCACACACGGTCTTCCGATGTTTTTTGAGCAATAAATACTTTCTCCACTGCAAACTGCACATTGAATTGACGCACGGGACACACACTCACTCGTGTAACACACAATCGAATATCGCATTCGCCACCGGACCGCTCGCGGGGACAGCACCCTCGAAGGTCGGCTCTCTTTCTCCAGGCTATCGAGCCCCTTCGGCGATATGAATTATATTTTGTCCACGATAGTCACAATAGTGGAGAAAAACTAACCTACGCGGATCCTATCGATGGTAGTGAATGTAGCGAAAAAATGTCCCCGTTCTGGGACCTTCCCATGTGCGTTTACAAAAGTGGCTAGTTCGAACGTACAACGGCGATTGGAAGATACAGAATACTCCAACCGATTCCCCGAAACCCACCCGTGTGACTTTCTCCCTCTTTCTTTTGATCCCCCTTAAATAGATAAAACACCGAAATAGAGGGCAGCAGTTTATATAAACATTTGCGCGCGCAGGTAAAAACGTCTCTAGGAAAAAACGGTTTATTCGGGTTCTGTCTGCCCGCGAACGGCTCCCGCACCCATTCTCATCTGTATCAGGCGTTTCTGAACGTTCTTCCATTCACACCAAATATGGCTACATCCACAGAGTTTAAATGTTACGCTTTTTTTTTTTTTTTAATTAATGATTATCAATTCATATCAATTCAATATCAATGTATTACAATCAGACAATACTCAACAGTGATCGTTATTCATTATATATTACAATAATTAAGAGTGACAACAACATGACGACGGAGGCGTTGAAGCATTACAAGGGGGGAAGGGGGATGGGGTTAGGTAGTGTAGAGAGTGGCACAATGTGTGTTTTCTAGGATGATCAGAAAGTGTAGAAGGAGGCGCCGATAGTGGACATACCTTTTTAACTACATGCAATACGAAGAGAGGTAATGACACAAGGATAGAAGGAAGGGATAGAGGATGGGGTTCTTCGGATGATTATGAAATAGCGACAATGATAGGGGTGACCATCGGTGACGAATGATAATGATGATGATGCACGACAATGAGAATGAACGATTAATGATAAAATGGAACAATGAGCTGGAGACCAAGGAGGGGAAGCACGCACACTCAACACAACCGTCACATCGAGCTGGCCTCGCGCTCGGCCATAGTCTATAGATTAATACCTATCAACTAATACACAGTCTGTCTCCGATTCGCGGATGACTCCTTCATTTTTTTCCGTTTTGAATGTATGTAAGTATAAATAATACGCGTAATGCAACGTGTACGTACAGCACGGCGGATCTATGCCCGATCCATCGACGAGAAGGGCTTGATCGAGACTCACACGTTACACAAATGGACATGGATCTCCTCTGGTTTACGCCATTTCTATTCGCCCGATTTCGAGACATCGAAGTCGGTAGGGCGCATGGAAACTGACGTCCACACGCCGTCACTGTACGCGCGTTCGTTCCTCGGATACTGCATATACATACACACATACTTTTGCGCCGGTATAAAGTGTATATATGTACACATATACATACGACATACCATCCATGTATATATAATATACCCATAATGTTTAATTAATCATCGTTAATCGTTAATTATCTTATTTATTAAAATTCGTCTGTTCGTAATTCAAAAAATTTCAGCTAGTAGCGGTGGATGGAAATGTTTCTTCGTTAAAAATCGCCGATACCCCCGATGATGGCGCGCGGCGTTATCGATCGTTTCATTTTAAACACATTTACAAACAATCGGGATCGATCGGCCGATTCGTTCACTCACTTATATCACTAATGTTTATTTTTTACTTTTTTTTTCTCTCCCAATTTTAAATCCTCTCGTTTCGTTTAAAACCCCTATGCCCGCCGATTCGCGGCGTGATCGCGGCCGCAAGCGTTGGCGAGATCCTCTCTCTCTCTCTCTCTTTCTCACGTGGTTTCTGTCATTTTGTTCTGTGCCCATGGCCGCCGGCCGGTGTGGCCGCCGCACATCAAATAATTCTATTACAATTAATCGTGATTTTGGTATCTTATGTACAGTTATGCGTGGCGCGAGTTCTGATTATCGTCGTGCACACACCGCCCCTGCCAGCGACCATTCAGAAGACATCATTTTTTGTTTTCTCACACGTTACTTCCAAACAACACGTATAGTCCTCCCAAACTCGAACTTTTTTCCCCCGTGAAGCTTGTTTAGCGGTCCGGTTGTGCAGTTTCATCTTCTTTGTGTAGTATTTTTAATTCGCGTACTAAGCTGAGATAACTGGCTTGCACGGGAAACCTGAGACGATCGATTATAAGATAGGCCAGTCCTCTTGGTTGCTTCCTCGGAGAATACCGTAACTGCGCGGTCGAGTATTCAGCAGGGTAACTCTTGGCGGGCAGGCTTTGTCATGTGCTTCATGGAGTTCATGGTACATCAGGGGTTGTCCGCAGCCATTATATTGTGTACCTGCTCGAGCTTGTATGCCAGTCTCTGCTTCTGCGAGAACTCGTCCTCCTCAAGTGTCACTATCAGCTGTTCGTTGTATTTACCCGCGTACGTGTACAGTTCGTAGAGGGCACAATTTGTGTTGAACTCCGTTGTGTGTAACTGCATGAACGAAGGAAATTAATTATTTGAAAAAAACTGGGAATTACTAGTTAAATTCATCTGTTTAATTTATATTTTTGGCGTGCATGCGTATCGATAGAAAAGGACACTCACCCTAGACTCTTCGGCAAGCATGGCGTTCATGTCTTGATCGGATATGGCTGGCATGACTTTGATATCTGAATAGTAACGTTCTACCCATTCTTTGTACACTGGAATGTCCTTTGCGTAAAGTAGCTTAGAACTCGGAGAGTCTTTACCTATAACATCAGAAAATAAGATTATTCGCAATCTCTCACTTGAATCGAAACAAAGCGAAACGAACGACGTGACCCACCTAATCTATGATCTGAAGTGGAACAGCTGTCCATGAACGTCTGCGCCACAACCGAGAGACACGAGTCCACGATGTTCGATTTGTGTATGTCGAAAATGAAATTCGGATTCTTAATGAGGTTAACCCAAAACCTAAGCGGAAGGGAGTTACTCTTCCATGTGTGGACCACTTCGGGGTCGGATATGCCGTGTTGCAGAGCTTGGTCGTCCATGAAATCGAACATGTACTTGATAGCGAGGGGAAGGGCGGAGCCTCGATGAGCGGTGCTGAAGATCGTCTCGAACAGGTCGTCGACGAATTTTTGTAGCGTACCCTTCGTTGCCAGTAACCTCGTCAGGTAGATCTCCGAGACCATTTTGTTACCGCGATCGCCCTCCTTTCGCGCGTCGGAGTCGTGATGTTTGACGAGATGCCAGCATTTGAGCCCGCCGTCGTGGTTCTGATTTAACGGCGACGTGGCACGAGACAGCGGCGGGCTGGCTGAGCTGAATTTGCTAAGGTTCAGGGTCTCGTATTTGTGCGATTTGTCCGTCTTCTCCGAGAGGATCGACAGGTTATAGATCGACGATTGTTTGGAGACTAAGTTCAGCGAGGCCCCGTCCGGTACCCTGTAGTGATTCAAAGTGTTTCGTTTCTTCCATTCACCCTCTGTCTTCGTTGTTGAGTCTTCGTCGTAGAGGATCAATCTTCCGGATGCTCCGGTTCGCCATTCTGTAATACGAAGAAATCAATCATCAGTATACACCCAATAATGTTCGAAAACGAAGTCTGGTTTTGTGTATTCCGAGTATCTTACCAAGATCAAGGTCATCCTTCCTAGGCCTTTGGCTATAAGGCGTGGCTCTGTAGATGGTATCCAACGCCTTCTCTTTCACTTGAGATATCGTGTCGCAGTCCAGTACTTTCACCGGAACATTTTCCGTGTTTGGATCCATGCCCCCGACAAATACTGTTTGTTGAGATATGGACACGCAGACCGTCTGGAAGGAAACCATTAAGCCGTTTATTCGTTAGACGACGCAAAGAAGAACACCTGCGTTGCGATGGGAATATTCCTTACCATTGGTTTAAAGTCGATCGACTGTCTGATCAATTTCTCTTCCGACAATGAGTATCTTGCCTCAGACGTGATCGCATCCACAGGACCCTTATCGACCTGTTGTTTCACAGCGCGAAACAGCACGTATAATGGCTCTCCGGCGCATTCTCGCATGAATTTGTACAAGAGGAAGGTGAACCAAGCTGACAACATTTTCTCAGCGACGCTTTCCGTTCTGAAACGCAAAGAGAAGGTCATTAAATACAAACGTCGATGAGAAATTTGATTATCCCAAGAGCGTAAAGTTCTGGAAAATAATTCTAAAGTTTCGTCAATACTGTAGTTAGTTAAACTCCCGACCGAAAGTCTCAGGTATTTCGAAGAAATATACAAAACTCACCGTCTAAGGAACAACTTCGGATGACTCTTCCCCTCTGTGCACTTCTCGATCAGCTCCGCGAGAAGGGTCTTCAAGATATCCGTGCAGTATTCCATCTTGCTCTGAAGCGTGACCATGATAAGACTGGCCACGTTCACCCGATCTCTCATCGAGAAGTAACGATTGCTCTCTAGTGTCCGCACGAACAGTAGCAGAAACGTTTTGTTCATGATAAGCTGCCCGAACAGACGCAGACCTTTTTCCTTGCGGGCGAGCTCCGGTCGGTCCCATTGCAGCACCGGGCTATTATCGTCGCTCGGGAATAATATCATCATTGCGTAGGTGCGATAATCGAGGAACGGTATACCGCCGCTGGTCAGGTCCCCGGTTAGATCAGTCATCTCGGTCTGCAGTTCAGCGAACGCCTCCTTGCACTCGGCCGCGACACGTAGCTCGAGAATGTCCATTTGCTCCTGCATGTTCTTCAGTACCCTGTTGCTTTCGGTGGACTTTCGTCGATAGGCGATCAAAAAGGCGATAAACACGAACACCAAAATCACAATAGCGGCGATCACGCCGATCAGGGCTGGTTTCGATAGCGGCCCATTCAGGCCAGCTGGCAGTGCATAGCTAAGTTTTCCTATGTTATAACGAAGCGTCCCACCGACTATTACTATAACCTCGGGCAGTTCCTGTTTATTTGGCAGACCCTCGGAGTCTATGGCGGGCGGTTGCGTCAACGGTGGTTTGCAGGTGAGCTGTTGCCTGGACAGCGAGGTGACGTTGCAGAACGCGTTCCCTATCTGCACGGTCACGTCGGATTCCTGGCAGGCCCGATCAAGATGTTGCCCGTTGATGTTCAGGTAGTCGCTCTTGTAGTACTTGATTTCCTCGTCGAACTCCTCGTAGATCGGATTCGGGTAGAGAAGGAAATGATTGAAACCGTTCTTCGAGAGATTCTGTACACCTGTCACGTTGTCCATACGGAAACCGTACTCGAGCATCAACGGTTTCTCCGCGTCCACCACGTCGTGTTCAGGTACCTCGATGGACGGTGACTTACAGATCATGCTTTCCTGACTGTGCACCTCGCACTGGGAAATGAACATCTTCTCGTCGTAGTAGACGTACATCTGCGGGTTCTGTATGTACCCGAGGTTCTTCCCAGTCACGGAGATCTTTATACCGCCGGCTGGAATACCCTTTGGTATCTTCACCTGACTGGCGACCCCGCTCTCCACACTCTCGATCGTCGGATCGTCGACGTACTCGAAGTAACCGTCGTAGATCCTGAACGCCCCGTCGAACGTCATCTTCACTACGCCGCTTTTCTTACGGCCGCTCGCGCTGGTTATACACAGTGCCTCGTTTGTGTCCGCGTTGATTATCAAACACGGTAGATCGTCGATGAACGCCTCGATCGTGCTGCCGGCGTTCATGTATTTTCCAGTGATTTTTACTGTGGTTCCGCCGCTCAGAGGGCCGTATTTCGGTATTATGGAGTCGATCTTGGGGTCCACGAACTCGAAGTTGTACTCCGACTGACCGCGGAAATCCTCGATCTCGACGATCACCGGGCCACTCTTGCCTTCCTCTGTGCCGGGACCGTCGACACGGCAGACGATCTGTTTCGTGCGCATGTAGAGCTCCTCGTACGGCTGGCAACGCATCCCACCGACCGTGACGCCGTGGTAGATGTCCTGGAACGAAGAAATTCGGTTGTTTTTCATTTTGTTTTATAGATTGTAGCCATATATTGTACCCACAGGTGCTTTAGAATGAGAACTATCGATGTTCGAATCTCGACGAAAGTCTTCGTGAAACATAACATTTCTATAGTCGAAGTTTTTGTATCGTAAAACAATTTTATCATACCCTAACCGACATCATGGATGTAAAACTGTTTAAGAAGATAAAAAATGTATATTTTCAGTTTGCAATGTAGATGTGACCTTTCGTTTAATTAAAAGTAAATACCAAACTCTAGGAGTACAATTTGTAATGTTTTTCGTATTTGAGACTTCTCATAACAGTTTTTTGTGTATATCTCTAGGGCTCCAATAGCTACAACACTCAAAATACATTGGCCGTCCCTGGGCGTTTGATTTGCCACCGAAACACTTAACCCTTTATAGGCAATATGATTCGTTGACGACCAAGCAACTTCTCATTTTTCCCCGACATCCTTCCCAATTTTTATTTTTATTGACAAAACTATTAAACAGTTGACTTAAGAAAACGATTATACAATGTAGTAGAGACTTTGATAAGTATCCCAGAATTTTCTCAGATTTTGTAAAAATCTAAAACAGTTGAAAAATTAAGCTTGGACATAAATGACCTGGTTTGCCTACGAAGTGTGAAGAAATATGTTTGCCTCCGGAGGGTTAAAGGCGTGAAGGATTCGAACCCCTGTTGTTTTTACAAAGTCCCTGTAGCTCGGCGAGGCACTATATACAGTGCACTTCCCCTTCACACGTACTTTCGCGCACATAAATTCACTCTCCCACCGTATTCCGTACGCCGGCGCAGCAGCACGTTCCAGCTGTTGCGCAAGCGCTCTGGGGCTATGATGATAGAACTTAGCATGGAGGGGGCTCTGAACTCATTGCCAGTTCCCTCCCCTAAACCCCGATCATAGCAATATAGTTACAGTCCACTGTAACTGCTCGCATTATACCTGTGCACAAAGCACTCACCCATTTAGCCTTCTAGCAAAAATGTCTCTTACCGTGAACGTTTTGCCCAGATTGATACCGCGTATGGTCACGTTCGTGTCCCCTTCCCATGGGCCCATCACCGGCTCGAACGAGTGTATCTCCGGGTTCGGGCAGGTCTGATTACGGTTCAGCCAGGTGCCAGTCCCCCGGTCGCATTGGGTTTTCACCTCGCACCTGTCCGAGCTTTGGCACCAGCCGCAGTCGTACTTGAGCGCCAGAGCCAGACACATACCGCAATTGTCGGCCATATCACGGCACCGATAGATCACCAGATGGATGTTGTGCGGATTGTCCAGCGGCTTCGAGCCGCCCCAGATCACTGCGAATGGGACCGTGATGTTCGCCGCCCGGGACGTGTACGAGAACTCGGTCTCCTCGCAGTAGATCGTGTCCCCCAATAAGCGAGCGTTCACGCTCGTCACTCGGCCCTCTATGTTGAACTGACAGACGAAACGGGTCTGCACGATGAATTGCTGAAAAATAACGTTTCGCGTTAGGTGGAACGTCAATCATACCGGGGATGCTTCCTGACCGCGACAATGACCCGCGGTGAAAGAGCCCCTAACGATACGCGGTGAGAATCGCATGGGAAATTAATGTGACGGCATTAAACGGAATTCCAGGAGGGATATCGGTTAGGATTGATGGTCGAAACCGCGTTCTTCTTACCCCGATGATGTGCACTCTGACGCGGATTTGTTGCTTGATGCCGGAAGACACCAGGATCTCTTGGGTATCGGTCGCGTTCAAGGTAGGACAGAAAGCTGGGCCGCTTCTGTAACTTGGACCCAATCTCTGAAAAGGGAAACGGTTCACGTTAGAGGACCATGGTGTTTTAACGATACAGGATATTGTCCAAGAGAAAAAACGTTTGCCTCGGTAGGGCAATTATTATAGTGGAGAAGATTTTTTTCTCAACATCGTATTTTCTACTAGTGTACGGGAAGCGTGAACATCGTCTTCGTACGTTAAAATATGCTTTATGACGAATACCTCCGTAGGTCATTTGAAGGTAAACATACTACAAATAGTTGAATTTGTCTTTTCATTAGCTATAACTAATCAAAATACGTTATCCCATTTGAAAGAAAACTACGATGGCCTTAAAACATCCTTCAGTGTCACAATAATTGCCTCACCGAAGTAACCATTTTTCTCTTACACATTTTCTTATGCAATTAAAAACAACGGCGTTATTTCATATGTAAATCTTAGGTGACTCATCCTTCGTGTAACAACAATTAAAAAAAAAAAATTAAAAAATGATTACTTACATTAACTCCCGTGACTAAAATATCGTTTCGACAATTCTCAGCCGTGTCGTGGGTGCATCTGTGCGCGTCCACGCACCAGTCACAGGGGAAGCTCGAGGACACGCAACGAGTGCAAGAGCTGTAGGTGTTGCAGTCGAAGAAGGTGAAGTTCGTGGCGACGAGATCGGGCCCGTTCGTCATTCTGACCGACAGTTTCGCGGTGAAGTGATGCTGTCCAAGCGGTATAGAGGGCAGCAAATCGGTTCTCGGTGTGGTGCAGTTCACGCCGAACGATTTCCTCGACGCGTTCGTGATCAACGTCTTGTCCAAAGTGGAGAACGCGCAGAGAAACTGTCCAGGTAAGGTCGGCAGATTCTCGATGACCAGCTCCAGTGTTCTCGTCGTGGTGCGTTGCAATTCGTTCGGATTGATGGACGTGATCGCCGTGCATCTGCCGCTCTTGTACGAGATCCAATAGAGCGGATCCTTCGCGGCGTCCTGGCAGTCGCTACGCAGATTGCATTTGTTCTCCGTTTTATTTGTCATGACGTACAGATGCATCAGCTGGGAATCGAATAGCAGGTCCGGGTTCACCGGCGAGTCCGGATCGATCACCAGGTCCCCGTACTCCAGCGCTATGGTCGCGCTCTCTACGACCACCTGTAACAAAGAATCATCCGATGTTTTAATGTCTTTTACTTGTTAACGAGATTGATCAGATGTAAAGGGAATCTTTGGAGGTCGGAGGTGAGGACTTCGTTGGTTTCTGATCGTTCATTCAGAGTGGTAGAGGATCTTCTAAGGTCCTCGTTACCGTTAGTGCTTGGCATAAGTACTGTTATGAGCAGTGACCGATTGATTACAGTATTTACAGAGTTGTTTCGTAATTATGGTACTGAAATTCTAATCCGGCGCCAGATAGGACCTATATTAACTTAATGGGTCAAAATAAGGTTATTATTTCATGTCATATACGTTACCAGGTTACTTTAGTTTCTGATTGTTCATTGACTCCATATTTTATTTTAATACATTTTCACATCCTTTTCACAAAAGTTGAGCGTTTTTTCTTTAACTATCATCACCTGGTGGAATTTTGGAAATTCTAGCCGTTTGAGTACTTTCAGTTGACAGTAAGCGGTACGTATTTTTCGAGACGATAAACTATTCGCTGTCGAATTATTTATCTTCAAGGGGAGTCGCTTCTAGTTAACGCTTAAACAAATCCCAGCTTCCCTGATCGAATCATCGTAGAGTAAACTGGAAGATCGGCCGAATGAATGCTCGCTAATGACGGAACTGGACACGTCGGTTCCTTCACGAAAGGGGACCAGTATGGTTTATTCATCGAAATGCTGGCGTCGGTATTGAAAAATGAAATATTCACGGTCAGAATCGTAACCAATCGGCGACCATTATGGTCCGTCACGCCCGGAAAAACATGCTCGTTTCTTTCAATATTTATTACTTATTAACCAATAATCACGATTCGTTAACGCGCCCTTCCTATTTTCTCAAAATTCTCCCTTTTTTTTTAAATTTAAAATTACTTGTTTGATTAACACTAGAACTACTAAACAAGTCAAAATAACTTTCCAATACACTGTTCCAACGACGATTAAAATATCACGACGATACATTTTCTCACATCTTTTGCACTTTTTATTACGATATGAAAGTGAAGAAATCAGTCAATTTCTAAATTTTCAAAAGTTTTATCGTCGGTAGTTCTAGTGTTAAGGAGGGAGAAAGGATATATATTATCGTTCAAAAGTTTGTTCATAAGAAAATTCGCCACAGGTGCGTCGAGCAGGTCAACGTGTCCGTTCGTTCGGACGCGTAGGTTCATTTCCTCGGGGCTCCTCACCGCGGAACGGGGTTCGTTCGCGGTCGCGTGGTTAAAGGTTCGCAAATTAAATCTCGAGGCCCGACGAGAGCCTTCCCGTTCGCGAGGCGCGACGGCAACGATGACGGAAAGGTCTGCCACTCCGTGCGCACCAGCTGGAATTACGTTCGCTTGTCTAATAAAAAGCCCGGGGATCCGTCCGCGGTGTGCCCGTTCCCGCTCGAATAACAGTAATCAACCGCGGATGATAAACTGGCCACGCGATGGAGGCTTTCGGCGGTTACTTGTTCGACGTGAAAAAGCACCGAGATGCGGTTTCGCTTATCGTCGGTCCGTTTTATGGGGATAACAGAACGTTGACAAGTGAGAAATGGGGGATCTTTAAGAAAATGTTGCTCGAAAAGAATTGTTTTGGATATTAATCTATAGAGTGACTGGTTGAAAACTATTATTTTATTGAATTTCTCAAGTTACCAAATGCTATAAATGCATAATTACAGTCTACTCGTTACTTTCGTTATTACTCTATTATATAATTATATTTACAAGATATTAGGTGTTCCTGTTTTGAAATTGAGTATTTCTTGTATCAGTCGAACACACCACGGAATTTCACTTTATTTTCCGAACGAGTATAATTCAGAGAAAATCTCATTACTTCCGGTACCATTTCCTTCCATCCTACTTTCGCAAAGTTCTCGACCACGCGACGGAAGCTCGCACGAAACTTGAATATTAGTTTCGAAAGGAAGTTAATAAACGCTCGTCCACGTTTATCGCTTAGTCGGGCGTTTTTTTTTTCCGGGGCCGTGGGATAGATTCCGCGGGACAGGGGGCTGCTTTTGAAGTAATATTAGCCCCCCTCCGGTGCGTTTTAAAATAGACCGTAAGCGGGGTTACGGGGGATGGTAAAAAGAAAGCACGCGTATAGAAAATCGAGCGGACACTCGCGGGAGGAGAGAGAAAGCGTACAAAGCGTAAGGACGTAACCAGTGAGAAATAACATATTTCAAAGCACAGGCGACGAAGGAGAAAGAGCCGCGAGACGGGCGTGAAAGAACGGCAATTTTCTATGCGTTAAAAAGGAACGGGTCACGTCCGAGTGTTTCTTCATCTGTCGTTAAACTGTACAATGACAGTGTATACTGTGAGCAGTCGACAAACTTCCAAACACAAAGAAGCTATTATAAGCATTGACTGTCTTGAAGGTTGAAGTCAGGAATGAGCTGAAGGTTTTTGAACGATGAATACCTTGTCAATTTGTAATCCTTTTTCTAGTTAAAAGCAAATGCTTTAATGCGAATGTATATTCTTATTTATCTGTTTATTCGATGGAAAAATGAATACACTAGTGTTTCATATAGAGTGGATGCAACAGTACATGAACATGTACCAGAGAATGGACATTATATATAAAAACGAGTAAATCAAGTTATTGAAATAAATCAACGATTAAAGATAGATTGTTTTCAAAATACAGTAAAGACTCCATGAGAGTTAGAAACTCGGGTACGCTTAGCATATATACCTTAGAAAAAGGTACAGATATTAAAAAATCTAATCTTCAAAGAGTACAAATATTTCTGTTTCATTTCATTTTCTGTAAATTCATCAAGAAAAGTCTCCATTTGCATAAACATCCACACTAATCATGAACTACGATCCCATACTTTTGGCCTGCAGTATTACATCCCTATTACAATACAGTAACGTTCTCGAATATCAATTAGCAATATCCTGTACAAAGGAGAAGCCTACAATGTCCCCCCGAACGCCCACAGGCTACAAGCTAAAACCTTAAATTCCCCATTCCTCGTAAACCCTTCAATTAGATCCTCCCCTTCGATCTCCCTTTCTCTCTCTTACTCCTCGAAGCATCTATTTAAAGTACCACGAAGAATCGATACTTTTTCCTCCCGTCGAGGATCTCTCTCGTATCGTACACGTGCACCGTTCACGAGGCCGGTGCATCCAGGTGGGATATCGTCGGGTTCGCGAAGGGGTGGTCGCGGTTCGAGGGGGCTAAAAAATCCACGTGGCTCGCGTTTTTGTCGGTCGTACACCGGAGGGCAGCAATTAACATCCACTACTCCCGCCACACCAGTTCCGCCGCGGTAGCCCTTCGATAATTATTGTTATTATTTCTGCACGCCGGACGTCGGTGGAGGGGGAACGGTAGAAGGGAAGAGTGGGGAGGATCGACGCAATATAGTCGAGACCGTTGGTCCCCGCAACGGCCGATTCGTTATTCGGGGCCATAGGTCACGCGCCGGGGCCGTTCCCGACTTCCTCGTGGCTCCTTCTCCGCGGTCTTGAACTTCGTCTCATTTCTATCGCTCGGTTCATCGCGGCCGATCCGTGCCGAGGCGTGCAATTAAACGGTTGGAAAATGAAGGGTCGCGGGCCTGCCCCGTTAGGCTTCCATGCTCGCAACGATAATCAGCCGCCCCGTAAGTATCGTGGGTGGGATGAGACGTCGACGCCGATCGACGGATATCAAGAGTGTAATGCTCTGAACGTGCATACGGTATGTCTTCGAAATAAAAAGGAAATATAATTATTTCATGCAAAAATCTGTAAACTGCAGTGATATTATAGGCATACAGGGTAACGTAATAGTTGATTCTTTAGCAAAAGCAGCAACTGCAATACAAACAGATAAGTCTGCGTGTCTATTCCCTTTACTGATTTTTGATCACTGAAAAATTCACCGAAGAACAAAGTCGAAGCAAAGACAAAGAAAACGTATTCCCATTCAATCCCCAATTTTCCTGAACCAATCTACGAAAATACAAACTTCCCCGAAGATCTGCAGTCTAACTATTACAAAGCACCGTCGAAAGCAAATTAAAATTTAACCGGCTGTTATCTAAATTCTCATTTTTCCCAACTCTCCGAGAATTATCAATAAATGGATAAAAACGGTTTTCCAGGCTCGCCAAAGCAATTCTCGTTTAATGCGCTCCTACCATTAAAAAATACCGCCCTCGATTTATTCCAATTTATTCCCCCTCACCGTAGATATAATATTTCGCGTTAACCGCATGAAAACGCGCGAAGAAAACTCGCGAAACTGGGTTCTTACTTTCTTTTTTTCCGTTTGCTATTCACCAACGACGCAAGAGATATATGTGTGTAGTAATTGAGGCCTGCCGATCTCGTGGATCCCGCGGAGTTCGTGCCGGCGATAATTATATTATTATATTTAACAAGCAGCCGAGGGATTAATCTTTCATCCACAGACGCGTCGGGTTAATCGTGGGAAAGCGGGAGTAACGAATGGATGGCTTTTCCGACGTCTGGTGTCTTTGTTGCAGGTTTTTCGATCTTCGAACCTAGAAGAGGAAAAAACAAACGCTCGGAGGGAGCCGTTTGCCAGCGAATAATTAAGACGTCCGCCTACTTCACGGTAGCCTGGTGTAATTATAACGATTTTCTGTGCATCTATCAATCATCCACGGAACCCCGTAAACGTCGCGGATTATTCGTCTTTTCTTGATGCTTGCTTCTCGTTCTTCTGGTTCCGGGGGGGTGCCTCCGTGACCTCTGCTAGCTCCGTGAACCACGGGACCGGAGAAACCCCGTCCGCGAGCAGTATATATATTTCACTTTCACGGTTCAATTTCCGCTGGTGTATTTTCGATGGTGATCGACTGGGGACGGGGATAACAGGAACGTGAAGATATTGGCCACGACGGAGAAGCCCGACAGGATTCTCACGGAAGGACTTTCTGCGATGGTTCTATAAATGTCGGGAACGTTCGGCGAAATGTATATTATAATACGAAAATATTGGTTATATACGGTCATAAGT